TTTTCTCCTTGACAAAAACCACTGACTGTGGCCCCAATAACTTATAATAAATTAAATTAAATGACTCCACTTAAATTACCAGCACTTCACCTGCTGGTCTTAAAGCACAGCCTCACAAATTCCTCCTGGTTTGCATCTACAGAGAAATCTGCGCTGGTTCATCGATCAGTTTGGATCTGTCTGATTCAAACTGATCAATTGAACTTCTTTTTTATTTAACCCTGTGCAGTCCGGGCATGCGGTTTTACGAGGATTTTTTTTGTGTGGTTTCGCTTCCCTGAAACCGACAGATGTTACGTCTGCCGCGCTCCTCCTGATTGTCGTTCTCCTTCTGGTTGCAGGAGGGTAACATCTCCCAGCTCCATTTGTTAAAACCGCAGATTGAGTTAAGTTTAATTCTTCGCAGCAGCAGAGCTGCGTCCGCATTGGTTGTGCAGCCCTGCGCACGTTACCATCTAATTAACTTCTGCACCTTTATTTATTTCCTCAAGATAAACTGCCGGCTCCTCTGTTTACACTATAAATGGATTAACACAGCGGTGCATTCTCTAGTTTTCTCTGTTCTGTACTGGAGACTGGAATTAAAAACCATTTCAACCAAAGGTTTTGAATGCGCTTCTGAACCAGACGCTCCAAAGCCTCCTGTCCATAACTCTTCAACACGCCGTCAGCTCCCAGTCAGAAAGACGCATTTAGTTCAGAGTTCATGAGATGATATTCAGAAAGGATTTTTGTCATTGACTGATTTTAGTTCCCTCTGCAATGTAGTCTGTGTGTAAAGTCTATAATGTCTGCCTATGTGCACCAGTCAAGGGTGTCAATTATAACCTGTCAAAATGACCGACGGGCTTCAAATTTTCCTGTCGTTTAAAAAAATAACCAGTTTAATACGGAAAATATTCTGTTAACGCGACTTCCGTCTTATTGTGTGAATTAACTTATTTTCCTCTTAGTGTTCATTTAGCTGAAGCAGAACAATTTTTTCTGTAGTTAAAACTTGATTTTTTTTTTTTGCTGCTAGAACATTAGAATGCATTGACATTCTGTATATAGAGATCTTCCATATTTACTGTTCATGTCTACCAATAACTTGTCATGCAGCTTCTATCATTTGCCTTCTCCTCAACACCAAGTTATACTAGTGGAAGTCTGTAAATATTTATTAATGCATATCATCTATTTTCTTTGATCTGTTTTCTAAGGATTGTTCAATTGAGCGATGTTTTATTACATGCTGGAATAAGCTGGGGGTTTACACAACACAACTCATGAAGTAAATCCTACCTGTACGCACAGTTAAGCTACTTGTTTGTAGCAAAATGGAGGATGCATTTGCCCTGTTGTATGGAAGGCCAAAGGGGACAAAAATGCCTGACATTCCAGGTGACTGATGAAATACTTGTTGTATAGGTGTTGATGTTTGTTATTAGCAACAAACATCAAATTCTGTATGCTTGGCAATGGCACACTGAATAAAAGTGGTACTGAAATTTAGTTTTGGTTAATTTTGAGAAATTGTTTTTCAGACAGACATGGACTTCTGCTTATGAATACGGGAAAATCATAGGAAAAGAAACTGAATAATATCTGCAGACTACAAGCATAACAAAAAGCTGTTAGCAGCTGAAAGAGACTTGGGGAAGGAAGCCAAGTTTGTTACAAAGTTGTTTTTGGACATGCAGAAAAGTATGTTTAAACTGCTATTAGTTTTTGTGAATATTTAAGACAGATTTTGTGGGTTGTTTTTTTTTTTTTTAGATTTATTGGGGTGGGAAGTTGCTGAATGTCAGATGTAAAACCCAGAACTGGGTAGTATTAAAAAGTTGCTCTCCAATAGGAGTATTGATATCTTACGTGAATGGAGTTGAAAGAAAATGTGATCAAATGAATTATGAAGGAAGAGTAAAAAGTATTATGGGAAACGACGACTCACTTAGGCGAGGCAGATTCTGAAGCCAGAAAATAACACAAGAACAAGGAAGCTTGAGTCCATCAAAGTCTCTTTTTACCATAAAGTGTTTGATTGAACTCCAGTAATATTAGCGTCTCTTCCTCACATAAAAGTGAAATTTACGTGCAGTGAAACTATTCTTAAAAGGTGCTACGTTTACGGCTCACTAAACACATTTTGTTAAACAGAAGGGTGCAGTTCTTACTTATCGACGCCAGATGGCGGTGTTGCAAAGCGAAATCTGCAGAGCGGCTTTTCCAGCCCGTCTTTTCCGCATTGCTGCAGCATCACCTGTCAAAACGCGGTGAACATGGCCTCGGCTGTCCTCGGTCGCCTGCTCAGGCTTTCAGCCGTCAGAAACGGCCCCCTCTCACCGCCGAGCCCCTCCACCGTGCCGGGGCGGACCGTGACGCCGAGCCGGACGGCCGTGTGCACGTCGAGCGGCGCCCTTCTGCCCAAACCCAAGAAGGTGAGAGCAGCGTTTGTGGTTGAGAACATGGCGTGCCGTAAAAGAAAGAAGCCCGGTTATGAAATTAACACAGCAGGAAAAGAGAGAGAGAGTCAACTGTGAATCCTTGAAGGGAGAAATGAGTCTGTAATGAGGTCTGTCTCACAGCTGCCATTTAAACTAATGAGAGTGTTTTTATGGTGGGGTCGTGTGGCAGACCCCCTTCGGCCTTATCCGGATCGCTCTGGTAGTGGTTCCCTTCTTGTATGTGGGAACTCAGATCAGCAAGAGCTTTGCGGCGCTGCTGGAGGAGCACGACATATTCGTCCCGGAGGACGACGACGACGATGACTGAGGGCTGATCAGGTAACCATGGGTTCCTCTGCCCATGTTCAGTCCGATGTTCTGTTTTCCTCTGTGAAGATCCTAAGTTAACCTCTTTCGTCTCATTTTCTCTGCAGATAATTGATGTTTTATTGCTACCAAGTGTCAGTGATCACCAACGTAGAGAAATGCCTTCCTGGAGGTCCTGTTGCCGTGACCTTCAATCACCTCCGCCTGCACTCGTTTCAGGGATTTTGCTCCTATTTGACGTACACGAGACTGCCGCTACATTTTCCTATCGTACTGTATTTGCATGCACTACAAGAGTCTTAATAAAAAGAGAAATCTAGCAAAACTCAATTGGTTTTAGTGCCTAGAGATATTGTGATGTCCAGACTGTTTAGCGCAAAAGTAAGGTCTAATCATTCTTGGGATATTGCTTTACATGATGCCACTCTTCAGTAATGTCCAGTACTGACGTGTTCAAAATTTATTTGTTAGTAAGACCGTGTTTACAGCTAGATCATAAAACCTACTGTGATTAATAGATTCTTTATGAACGCCAGCTGTTGTACTTCACCTCCAAAGTCCTTTGAGAGTTGATGAAAAATGGAATCAAACATTTTAACTCCAGGTAGTTCCACTGGTTTTCTAATTAACGTACTGTGACAACCTTTTCAATAAAACTATTTCTGTTGACGGTTTGGATCCACTAAAGTTCCAGAAGCACATCCAAGGTCCTGAGTCGGGTCTTACTTGGAATCGTCTCCATATTTATTTCCTCTAGATTAGAACTTTAGGCCTGCCCAAGATTAACTCAAAGAATGTACACCAGGAACGAAGCCTCTGCTCCAAAACCAACAGGTTTTCAATTGAATATTAAAAATTGTCATATCAAATACTTTTACCCTTCTCAATAATCAATGGCCCTTAGATCAGGCCAACTCTTGTTTCTCTTCAACTTGCTAAGGGACACCTATCCAAGTATCATGAATTAGAGGTGCACCGATTGCAGTTTTCTGGCCCTTTATCGATCTTTAAAAAGCAAATTTTGCCTGACGCCAATATTTCACAGATTTTCAAACCTTTAGGAAGGTGGGAGAGATCGGTTTCTCCTGCAAGTATCAGCTGATCACACAAAATTAAGGAAATGGGGCCAATTAGTGCACCCCTAGTACGCATGGATTTGATCAAAGAGCAAAACAACACTCGCGTTTTAATTTAACTGGATCTTATATGACTCTCATCAAGACCGAAACAAAACAGGTGGAGGCATGTGAGAGTTATAGTGTGTATTTACAATAAAGGGGGACATCTTTCATATTGGAAACGAGCAAAGAGGGGTCAGAGGTCAGCTACACAGTTCAAGGGTCGTGTCCTTTGTAGAATTTGGACAGGAAGTCTGCCGCTCGAGGCTCTTCGGACTCGTGGAAATAACGCATCACATGGGTCTTCTGCTTCCAGACGTGGATGGTTTCTTGCAGTTCCATTTTACCCTGCCGTGCGAATAAGAGACGCATCAATGGGACGAACATCTACACTGACTCAAATGTCATCAATATCAAGTCAAGACTGCATTCTAGCAGCATGTTAGGTTGGGTGAAGTGTCACGTTTTTACCTTGATGACCAGCATGTCGATCACGCGGGGGTCGGTGACGTGTTTGTTTTTGTCAAACATCTCCCGCACTTTGTCTCTGCCCTGGCGAGTCGTGATGTCCAGCTGGAACATTGCCACTGCAGACACACAGAGTCAGCTTTACTAAAAGGGAATGACCGCTACGATAACTGCAATCAGTAGAAACGTCAGGATAGTGTTGTAACCAACAAAGTTTAGAATCAACGTCATCCCTAATACTGGATATAACGACATAGAAGTCTCTCTGAAGTAGCTCAAGCTGCCCGTTTTGGGTCCTCATCTAGCCTTAAAGGGGCAAAGTCATGAAAAATTGACCTTCTTGAGATTTACATCATGTTATATTATAACACCCTCATCAAAAAAACACACCTGGAGTGTTGCTTTGATTCTTTCATGTATGTTTGAGAAATTATTTAATCTCCCTTGGCAACCATTCAGCTGTGCGAAACGCCTGGTTGGACCTAGGTCCACCTTCGAGGCCAAGCTACAGAGTTTCCGTGGTTCCCCCAATCAGCTCCTTCAGACTAGCCAGCAGCAATTAGCAAACACCTGGTGGAACTGTGCATCTGCTGAGCTCATTATACGAGCTACTTCTCAGTGAAACTCTGGTAAAAAGTTTGTTAAAGGATAAAGGAGTGATGTGATGACTTCCTGAAGGCAGAGGCCCAATTTCAAGGCATTAAAATCAGGAAGTCAATTTCTTAAAGTCATATTTGATATATATAGCATTTTTATAAACAGCTGAAGGTAACAGTTACTTAATTATGCTATAAAATGGCACTATGTGCCTGGAGAATATATAATACTGCCCCTTTAAGTCTTGTTATAGGCTCCAACATGTTTTCTGCTGACAAAAAAAAATCTCCACAGCATGATGCTGCCACCATGTCTCATCATGGGGATGGTGTGCAAAAGGTGACGGCAAGTATGTTCTGGTCTCAACATAGCACTTTTTTTGTGCAAATTTCCACTTGGCATTTCTGCTCTACTTTTTATTGATTTATCAGTATAATATACTTGCAAGTAGCGGCATGCAGCTCTTGTTTATTTATTTTTTTAAAAGCGATTACTGCCAACATGTCTCCAAAGCTTTAGAAAACACCGCGTTCTGAAATGCTGGCGTTCTAGTTTAGGTCCAGTTAACCTCGACAATAATCTAAAGCTCCACAGAGACACGACCTTGACGCTACCGTCGCTGCTTCAACACCCGCCTTCCAGCCTCCACGGCCGGACCCACGTACCTGTATTAGGCACCTCACGGTACCAGGCCCGGTACAGTTCCCGAACTCTGCGCTTCGCCTCGTCCAAGTCCCTACTAAGAATGGGTTTCACCACTTTGGCAGCACCAGCTGCTGTTCGGGCCGCAGCCGTGGACGCCATGACTGTTGCTGATGTTGAAGGCGTTTCCGCTCTCATAGGTTGAAGAAAAGAGCGCAGCTGCCCTCTAGTGGTCAGACAGACTCAATACAAGACACGGCTTGTTGACTGCTGAGATGAACTGGAAAAGACTTTCATTGGAAAACAGCAAACGAATAAAAGTAATTTAGTTATGAAACTCTCCAACACTGTCTAAATTTGTAATTTATTAAAACAAATGATTACTCAAAAGGTTCACGGAAAAACATTTTTTTCCCTGTATAATTTGTTACAACAGGGGATTATTAACGAAAAATGGTAATGCATCATAGTAGGAAGTACTGAAAGACTTTTATTCAGTATCGTAAAAAAAGTTAATTGAATGTCAGATTAGCTTTGGCTACAGTTTTACTGTTATAAAACAACAAATACTAATGTTAATGCTGATATATTATGTATCCCTACTTTCATGAGATTAAAGTAGAGATATTTGACAATAACCAAGCACATACAGAGTGCAAAAACATGGAGGTGATGGTTAGGACTAATTTGCAGCCCGGCAAAATCCTCTACCGACCTTTTCTAAAAGCAACTGCAAGCCCATCTCTCCAACAGATGACGCTTTTCTCAAACAAATGTAAAATCTACCATGTAAAAGTTGACAAAGGAAACCAGGGAGTTGTGATGGCCTAGTCAAAGTCTGGACTTTTGAGGTCAGTTGAAATTCTGTGGTAGGACTTAAAGACAGAAAACTGGACAGAAAATACAAAAAAAAAAACCCACAAGGTATTGCAATGATTTGTGGTTCATAGAGTGAACTTTAACAAAGTTTTGCCATTTTTGATTTTGTTCAATGAATAATGACAGTGGAATTTGTTACATTTGTTCACTTACTTGGAGAAGCATTCCCACAGCATGATGCTGAAGTCTGTGTGTTTTAGGGTCATGTTTTATTTAGGCTCATCAGAGTGAAGAAGGCTGAACGCAACACAAACACTTTAGATTTTTATTTGCAAAAATACTGAAAAAAAAAAGTATAATTTTTCTTTCACTTCACAATTTTGCAGTACTTTTTGTGCTAGTCCATACCATAAAACCCCAAGGAAATAAAAGTTGGAAAATGAACACTTTTGGAAGGCACTGAAGGCATTGATCCACTTTTTTTTTTTAAATTGCAACATTTTTATGGATTTCTAAGGAAGCAACTAAATTGATTGCAAAAATAAGCATAATTTACAAAAAAAAAAACCCTGGAGGCTTTAAATAAGAACATGCTTTCAAAAAGTAGGTAGTTGCTCTTTTCACAAAAGTTCTTTTCAATAAGAAAAGCATATATATATATATTTATTTTTAAAAAATGGCTCATTTATGCAACACCTGCTATTTGTTGCTGTGGTGGCACATAGCAGAAAATGCTCATGATAAACAGAAACAGAAAAGTTTGGGATTTCTCCTCCATGGCTTATAATTATGTGGAAATTGCAGATTACAGTCAACTTTGTGTAAATAAGCCTGAGTTTTCCTCAATCACATCAAATTCCCCCATTTAGTCTGCAAGAATTAGAAATTGTATTTTTTTTCCCCATATCAGAATCCCAATGTGTTTTCCAGAAACTCGCTTTTACAAACAAAAGAGGAATGAAAATAAAAGCAAATATGAAAAATGTCGTTTGAGAAAATGTTCCACCTTCGCAAAAACAGGGAAAAAAAAAAAAAAAGGAAGTCTGAGCTCCGCTTTCAAAATTAAGACCATCTACAGAGGCTGATGAAATATAAAAAAAAAATAAAAAAAAAACTCATATTCCAGTTGTAAGACCAAATGCACATCGATACAAGCTAGGACTTTCCAGAGCAAAACCAAAAGTGAAAAGTGCACTTTTAATTTTTAATTTTGTTTTTTGAAGTACAAATTAAGGCCCAGTGTAATGAAGCCGACAAAATGACTCGTTGGCAAATCGGCTTGAAAGACGCGTTCGAGTTCCGACGCACGGCCGTAGAAGTTCTGCACAGGCATTTCCTTTGGATCCAGCTGCCCTGCAGGCTGAAAAACTACAGTCCGGGAACAAAGAAAGGTTGAAATAATAATTAAAAAAAAAAGAGAAGACTCTAAAGAGTTCCGTCCTTTGCCTGGATCGCGGTCCGACTCCAGCCTGGCGGCTAGTCAGTGGTCCAGGCTGTTGCCCAGCTTCTGCCCCTCCTGCAGGGCGGCCATGGCCAGCCTGAGGTGCTCCTTCAGGCTCTGAATCTCGCGCTCTGTGCGGCCTCTCATCCCGTTCAGCTCTCCGTGCACCTCTGCATACCGCTCACAGGCCAGCTGCTTTTCCTGCACAACAATGAGCAGAGGAGAGGGAAGGAGGAAAAAATAAAGGCGTCATCTTCAGAGCGGCCTCAGGCTGCGACATCCACAAAGAGAAAGCAGAGCTGTGCTTTTTAAATTACAGGGTTCCTCTGAGCGGTTTGATGTCTGCATCAAGTTTAACACTGTAGAGAGTTTTTCAGAGGTAAATCAAGTGACAGTACCATGTTTAGAAACTGAAGCTCATTCCTGAGGCAGCTGATCTCCTTGTGTAGATACTCTATCTCATTATCTTTCATCCTGAGGAGAACCTGGACGACAGAGGAGAGTGTGTTTATTTCCCCACAAAAAAAAACAGACAATAACAGTTCTGGTCAGAAGTTTACATAAATTAACCAGGATGAGTGTTTT